TATGCTGAAAGCAATACTAGCCTTTAAAAAGCCAATAAAAACATTGGCATAGCAAGGAAGCTGTGTCAATTACTATTTTATATACCTTCCTAAGGAAATTAAATCACACTTATGAGAGATAAATCAATCAAAATCTTCAAAGTGACTAGCACAATGGAAATATTTACAAAAGTCTTACATTAAGTGCTGACAAGCCCAGAAGTCAGAAAATTCAAACCTGAATCTGAAATTCCATCTTTAGCCTTGTGTCTAGTTACTGCAGCATGTGGTATGTAAAACTGCCCATTGCTTAGAGACAACTGCAATCTCTAGGCAAAACAAAATGAGTTAATCTTAACTTCTAGTTTCCTGGCTTTTGCTGATTTAAATTAATCCAGTAATGTTATTTTAACACGTTTAGTTTATATAATTTTTCTTTTAATTTTTTCTTTAATTTTGAAGAGCTCTCATGAACAAATAATGCTAAAGAGTAAGTTCACTCTGCTATGCTGGAGTTAGCCCTGAAAAATCACTCTGATGCTGCACAACTAATTTTGGTATAACCCACTAAAAATTCCCCCCAAATCACTTTTAGGTTTAAAAATCCTTGTTATATATTTTCTCCATACACTTTTTTAAATACAATAATGGCCTTTTTGGAAAGTCATTTACTAATACAGGATCTAGTGATGCAAACTCTTACTCACAAATTCAGTGGAAAACTATTCCCTTCAGAACTTTTCACACGATTGAGGATTGTCAAGACTGGGTTTGTAGTTCAGATAGGACTAGTCCATATTTTACAGATTAATGGCCTACAAAGTAACTTGTAAATGACAGGTGTATAGCTGTAATGGTACAAGCCCTAATGTAGTTACAGCTATCCTGGTAGGACGGTGACTATACTACGGACTTCTGTCATCATAGCTACATCAGTCTGAGGTATGAAAAGGTGTGATTTGTGACCAATATAGCTTGCTCGTGAAAGCCCCTAGTGTAGACGTAGTTAAACAGGCCAAACTGTACTTTTACCTGGATTGCTTGTTTTGCTTGGAGTGGGTGGAATAAGCTATATTGACGAAAGCACACTTTTGCGGGTATAAGATGCATCCACATTAGGAGCACTTTGCCAGTATATAATATGCTGGTACAAACAGACAGGCTCACAGACCTTGTCTTCACTGTAAAAACAAAAAATCGGGGTTTTTTACAGTGGGATAACTAATGTACATTAGCTACCATGCTGTAAAATCCTAATGCAGACAAGACATTGTAATTGTTACCATAAAGTGGCAAGGCGAGATCAACACTATATACCTGACTGTGGTTGACCTTGCCTAGTTTACCCCACAGTAAACGCCACTCTCCAACCTCTCTGAGGCAGGATCAAGTATACCTATACCATCCCTCACGGATGTTTGTCTAACCTGTTCTTAAAAGTCTTCAATGATGAGGATTACATAACTTCCTTGATGTAACCTATTCCAGTACTTAATGAACCTTATAGTTAGAAAGATTTTCCTAATATCCAACCTAACTCTCCCTTTCTGCAAATTAAGCTCAATACTTCTTGTCCTACCTTCAGTGAACATAGAGAACAATTGATCATCCTCCTCTTTATCAAAGCCCTTATTATATTTGAAGGTGATTATCAGGTCCCCCCTTCACCTCCCACACCCCCAGTCTTTTTTTCTCAAGACTAAACATGCCCAATTTTTTTAACCTTTTCTCATTCGTCAGGTTTTCTAAAATTTTACTGTTTTTGTTGCTCTCCTCTGGACACTCTCCAATTTGTCCACATCTTTCTTAAACTATGGCACCGAAAACTGGACACAGTACTCCAGCTGAGGTCCCATCATTGATGAATAGAGCAGGAAAAATTCCTTCTGGTGACTACATACAGTACCACACTCCACTTGATACACCCCGGAATGCCATTTGCCTTTTTTGCAACTGCATCACATTGTTGACTCATATTCAATTTATGATCCACTATAAGCTCCAGATCCTTTTCTGCAGTACTGCTGTCTAGCCAGTTATTCCCCATTTTATATTAGTGCATTTGATTTTTTCCTTTCTAAATGTAGTACTTAGCACTTGCTTTACTGAATTTCATCTTATTCATTTCAGACCAATTCGCTGATACAGCAAGATCATTTTGAACTCTAATCCTCTCCTCTAAAGTGATTGCAACCCCTCCCAGGTTGGTGTCATCCATAAATTTTGTAATTATACTCTCTACCCTTGTGACAGGTTCGGTCACAGAGACCCCCTTGGGTCTGTCACCTGATGTGCTGAATCTACCTCTGAGCCCATTTTCTCTGATGGCTTGGGACTCCAGAACCCTGCCTTGTCGAGCCAGACACACAAGCCTGCTGCAACACAGACCCAGGGTCTGAACCACGACCCCAAAGCTGCAGACTTAACTAAAAACAGTTTAAGAAGTGCTCCTGTCTCCAGCAACCAGACACCCAGCTCCCAATGGGATCCAAATCCCAAATAAATCTGTTTTACTGTGTATAAAGCTTATACAGGGTAAACTCATAAATTGTCCACCCTCTGTAACACTGATAGAGAGATATGCACAGCTCTTTGCTACCCCAGGTATTAATCAGTTACGCTGGGTTAATTAATAAACAAAAGTGATTTTATTAATTATAAAAAGTAGGATTTAAGTGGTTTCAAATAATAACAGACAGAACAAAGTAAGTTACCAAGCAAAATAAAGCAAAAACACGCAAGTCTAAGCCTAATACATTAAGAATCTGTTCACAGGTAAAGTCTTACTCTGAGATGTTCCAATAAGCTTCTTTCACAGACTAGACTCCTTCCTAGTCTGGGCCCAATCCTTTCCCCAGTACAGTCCTTGTTAGTTCCAGCTCAGGTGGTAACTAGGGGATTTCTCATGACTGCTCCCCCCCCCTTTGTTTTGTTTCACCCCCTTTTATAGCTTTGGCACAAGGCAGGAATCTTTTGTCTCTCTGGATCCCCACCCCTCCTTCTAAATGGAAAACCAGCAGGTTTAAGATGGATTCCAGTTCAGGTGACATGATCACATGTCACTGTAAGACCTCCTTCTTCATTACCTAGTAGCTGGAAGACACGTATACAGGAAGGCTTGCAGGTAAACAAACCCATTCACAGTTCATTGATTCTGAAGCACCCTTAATAGCTTCCACTTAACATGTTTACATCAGTAATACAAGTTTATATCTTATTCTCCTAACTTCAGAGTATAGATGTGCTAAATCAACCGCTGAGCGCTCTCTTGTCGACTCCACTACTCCACCGGAATGAGAAGCGTAAGCAGAGTCGACAGGAGAGCATCAGCTGTCGACTTACTGCAGGGAAGACACCACGATAAGTAGATCTAAGTACGTTATTCACATAGCTGAAGTTGCGTATCTTAGTTCGACCTTGCGTGGTAGTACACACAAGCTCTAAGTCAATGGAAGAAGTCTTCCATCATACTAGCACTGTCTACACTGGAGGTTAGGATGGAATAGTACGTCTCTCAGGGATCTGGATTTTTCATACCCCTGAGGCCTGGTCTACAGTAGGAAATTAGGTCAGTATAACTGTGTCACTCAGGGGTGTGAAAAATGCACTACACAATTAAACTGACATAACCCCCAACATAGACAGCACTATGTCAATGGGAAAATTCGTAGCTATCACCTCTCAGGAGGTGGATTACCTATGCCAACGGGAAAAGCCCTCCCATCAGTGTTGGTAGTGTCTTCAATGAAGTGCTACAGTGGCACTGCTGTAGCATTCTACAGCCATGTCTACATTACCACTTATGTCAGCAAAACTTATGTCACTCAGGGGTGTGAAAAAGCACCCCTCAAACAAGTTATGCTACGTCGGCGGGAGAGCTTGACATTGGGGATGGCTGGGGCCACTTATTGGGAGTGGTTTAATTATGTTGACGGGAGAGCTCTCTCCCATCAGCATAGAGTGGCTACCTGTGAGATCTTACAGCAGCACAGCTGCATTAGTACAGCTATGCCACTGTAAGCTCTCTAGTATAGACATATCCTAACTGTAGACAAGGTCTGAGAGACATAGCTATGCCTATGTAAGTTCCCAGTGTAGATCAGTCCTCACACAGATGTCTCTGCAGTTACATGTGATTCACATTGTTGACGTTTTCTTTGCAACCATATGAGCTAGACACTTATTTCTTCTATAAAATGAAATCTGAGACTCTAGGGAACAAGACCGTAGCTTGAGCGTGGTGCTGGTATGGCCTATGGGCACATACTGGCTGTTTCTTAGTCCTGGCCCTAACGTGCCCTAATACACCATTAGATCTGGGCCTTTGTGTCCACATGCAAAAGTTTTTGCAATGGTGCATGGGACGTTGTACCAGTGTTCCATCTGCTATGACTATCCTCTCTCCCTTCAAGATTGACTTCTGCCACAATGTCTACCAGAAATGAACCACCTATAATGACTTGGCTCAAGAGTGGTTGAGGAATGTCTCTGCATATGTAATTTCAAAACATATATTCATACATTTACTATGTCTAGCAAATGCACTTGCTTGGAGCTACTCTCATCACAGCTGCATTAGGTTATTGTACCATTGAAGTGCGTCTTTGCTATAGACTGAAAACACCGTCACTGCAGCTGCAACAATGCCCTTGGCCCTCCTAGCAGTAACTCTACAAGTTCATCTGCTATCTCCTTCATCAAAACCAGTTTGGGTCTGCCTCATCCTTCATCTCACCTCCAAACAAGAACGGACTGTAAACAACATCCTCATTGACCATCCCACTCCTGTCCTGCCATCAGTCCTAATGATCCAATAATGACAAAATGGCCTTGTCCGCCTCAGCCACTTCCAAAATCTTTGGAAATCCAAATCTGAATGCATGAAGTAAGCAAACTTTTTTGAGTTGTTCAAAAAACACCAGTGCTTCATGAGTTGTTCAAAAAACACCAAGATAATCATATAGAAATGACATAAAGCCTCTAAAGTTGAATACAAAATTATAAATTGGATATTTACTCACATGGCTGTCCTGTCACAGACCTATTGTGGATTGTTGCATCTATCCCATATCTCCCTCCACAGAACGTCTATGAGTTGCAGTGCAGTTCTAGCTGTGCTGGTCCCAGAAGACTAGAGAGACAAGGTGTTTGAAATAATAGCTTTTATTGGCCAATCTCTGTTGGTGAAAGAGAGACAAGCTTTCAAGCTTACTCAGAGTTCGTCTTCAGGTTTTCATGTTATAATAGTTACTAATAAAACTGTGTTATGTGTTATCTTTGCTGCTGTAGCCATTTGGAAGTAGGGCTAGCCCTAAACTGGGAGGTAAAAAGGGGTGTGATAGGCAGGGCCTTTGTCAGGGCTCACACTCAGGCAGGTTCAGAAACCGTTCCCCTTTTCAGATGTCTTTTGGGGTTTTAGCAAGCCTTTGTAAGCAGCAGCAGCTTATCAGCGTTTCCCTCTCAGCTATTTTGTAACAAGAGTCAGTTCCTTACAAGATGCAGCACTTTTTCCTGGTTGCCCACTCTTCCTTTTTAAGCTTGTTTCCTCTGTCTGGAGCAGGCTCTGCAGGTGTGTCTATTTGGTAGGGATTGAGCTTGTTAGCCTTCTCCTGATTGGGATGGGTGCATAACCCACCACAAATGGAATGAAGGGTAGCAAGCAAAACTGAGACCAGCCAAGTACTGCCTCAGGTGCTTCGGAGCCTGCCTGAGTGAGTAGGTTGACAAATGATGGAGACAGTACACTGAGCTAACAGAAATATTCCTGAAGAGTTTGCAGGAGTGTTGTGGGACTCCACTGGTAAAATTAATGGAACCTTTACAGCTGCAATATTTGAATTTATTGCTAGTGCTATAATGGTGTAGCATAAGCTGGTGGTGAAATTTGCTCAGAAAAAATGCAAAAGTAGTATAAACATCACCTGTACACTGTTAAAAAATGTATGATGCTGTAAGGTATGTTACCAGCATGCCAGGGGCTTGCAATGGTTGTGGTAATGCTGAACTGTTGTAGTGAAGTCAAGGTCTGCAGCACTGTTCCCTATAAGCTGTGCGCATGTGCGCGTGCACACAGATCCTAAACCCCGTGCACACAGCGAAACACCGCATCCACAAAAATTTGCACAGAAGCACAACAATTTGCACAGAAGCAATTTTTTGCACACACAGCCTGTCAAAAATTTGCACAGAAGAAATTTTTTGTGCACACGGCCTGTCAAAAATTAGAGGGAACATTGGTCTGCAGTGGATTTGAGAGTCCAATTCCAACTTCTTGTAAACAGACTTCTCAGAGTAGGGTTATTGTGTTATAATCTGAAATGCATCCAAGGATCACCGCATCCCAAAACCACCAATCAAGATTTAGTAATGGTGATATAATTTATTCAGCAGGTGAGAGCTGGAGTGTTACACCGTGATGAAAGGTTATTTAATAGTAGACAAGACAATATAACTGATTGTCAAAAAAATAACATAACAGGGATTTTATTTAAGCCGGAACAAATGTAACTGGATTCCATCTACCTACAATAACATTAAAGAGATGAAGCATATATATAATTAAAATGATTTGAAAATATATGTTATATACACCCACTGTAACTTACTACTAAGTGTACCACTGCAGCACCAGCAATAACTAAATATAACCCTCTAAATAAAGAAATATAGCTATATCTATCGCTGTATGCACAGACTATTATATAATATGTTGTTATTTTTAGTTTAGTTCAAGGTTCCCCTTTTCCCAAATATCTCACTGGGTTCTCTCTAATACCCAACTCTGTCTTTGAGCCTCAAGCACCTCTTGTGCCTTCCTGAAGCAATGGACTCAACTCCAGTAATGCTTACTTGCAGGAGTGCACATTAGATCAGACCTGTGAGGTCTGATGGACCTTTGGTTCTCCTATTCCTGATCTCCGGGACCAATGATAGGAGATGACCAGAACCAATGATCAGGAACAAACGGGAATGGATGCTCAGGAACAAACTATCAAATATGGACTGACCTGACCAGCCGACCTTAAACTAAAGGGACTCTCTTCTGCATGTCTTTCTGTGCTGCTCTACCTCAGTTTCTTCACTTACTCTCAGTTTCTCTCCAGGCTGGTTTCTTCCATCCCTCTAGCTGCCCTCTCTCTCTCCCCTGCCTCTCTCAGTTTACTACCAGACTCTCTGTTTCTCTCCATCTCTCTCTCTCTTAGGCTCCCTTCTGCCTGCCTCTGTCCCTCCACCCCCATCTTCTCCTCTGTCACTTCCCCTGCTCTGAGGGGAGGGGCCACTTCCTCTCACTTTCTCAGGCTACCTCCTCTCTATTGAAAAATTACAGTGCATTCACCCTGAACACACCCTACATCATATATACCCATACAGAGCTGAGTCCCTTTACCATATTTACATTCTGATTGTATACTCACTAAATCAGCCATTTCAGGTCTCAGAGAACTGGAATAAACACCAAAAAAATTCCTGCTCTCTCAAGGTTCTCTCTAAAGCACTATTTTTAGGAGATGTTGAATGATATCTAGGAAGGAAACCTTTATTGCTGAGGAGATTATTCTGGGGCTGGGAGCAATAGGGGATAGAGAGGAATGCTTCCAGAAAGAAAACCCTTTCCTTATGTAAAAAATAGCCATTCTGTATTGATTCTGAACATCCTACCTCCTCTTAAGAATGAACTGGAGGAAGAAGTGGGATGTGTTACCTGTCTGCTTGAACTGACTGGATGGTTGAGCAGCTTGTCCTAATTTATGAAAAGAATGGGAGGAGGGAGGGGAACCTGAGTTTTGATGGTCTGTCCCTCACAGGGAACTTTACATTAACAAATTAGGCCACAGGTGCCCATAGGAGCTACAGCAAGCGAGAGGAGGAATCCGCTAAGAGTATGGCTTTGTTTGCTGAGGATTCCTTTAGAACAGAGTCTAGCAGCATTTATGTCCCCTAAATGGCAGGTGTCCTTGAAAGGTGGAGACATCAATTTTATCTTGTCACTGAAATCTTTGGTCCAGGCAGAGCTACAGGGCCCTCCTGGTAACACCAAGGAGCTAATTAGATTTGCTTCCAACTTAATGAAATCCTGAGCAAAGTCATTAAGGGTTTAGATGGCAATAATTGACTTAGAAAGAAGCTAGTGAGATTCCATAGGGAACTACTTTATCTGACTATAGCTGTGAGATTCGTTCTATGGATGCTCTGGAAATGTAAAATTCATAAATGGTGGCTCCCAACTGAGAATCTGCAAGCTTGACATTTCTGTACAAGACCTTTTCTGTATTATGGTCCAGCACATCCCTAAGGGATACATTGGAGTCTAATGGGCTCACAGAGGATTTGTTGCAGAGTGCTGAAGGAGGAGTTAACAGACAGAACCCCCTGTTTGATTGTATTAAAAAGCTTAGCTAGTCACTTGGGCTGCCCACCAATTAGCTACTTTTGATGCCCTCTTGTTTGATTGTTGCAGTGACCATGACCAGTTCTATAAGGCCTAGAGTGATATAAAGAAAACTGTCCAACAATTAGCTACTTTTTCTTAATGAAAACCAACATACACTTTTCTTTCTTGGAATTTTTGAGGAATAAAGGAAACATTTATCATAATTTCTTAAATTTGGCTACATTTACAAAGACCTAGTGATATAATTAAGTAGATCAGCTCTTGCTGAGAGACTCTAGAGGGTTGTGCCTCTAAGGGTCAGAACCACTTCTCCATACCCTAATTTCAAACATAACAAGGCAATAGTGACTTTAAGCTGTGTGAAGCCTAAAGTGTCGCATGAAAATCTAGGTCCACTCCTGAAGATCAAGCCCCTCCCCCTATAGTAAAGCTCACTCATGAGCCATGTTGCCATAAGCTCCCTCTCTAAAGGCTGCATAGTACCTCATTCTCACCCTCCCAGGTGGGAAAAGTCAAAGGAGAGGAGTTTTTACATCTAGTAGATTTCTAAGAGTAGAAATAAGAGTAGATTTCTAAGTCTACTGGATTTCTAGTAATGAGACTATTCCCATAAATAAATATTACTCATGTAAGAAAAGGTTTGCAGGATCAGTCTGAAATTTACTAATGTAATATAGTATAACATAAGTTCCAGCCTGTTGTTTTCTTCAAGTTCATCTCTGTACTATAGCTCTTTACATGGACAATTTTCACTGATAAGTGAATTCCATAATAAATACTATGTTTGTACTTATACAGCTCCTTTCATTACAGGATTTCAAAGCACCTTACAAAGGTGGGTAACTAAGTCTCATCTCCATTTTTAGATGCAAAAATGAGGTACAAAGAAGTTATGTCTCTTGCCCATGGTCAGTGGCAGAAGCATAATAAGATACAGGTCTCTCCACTCAATCACATTATTAATTTATGTATTATTACTGTAGAGACTAGGAGCCCCAGTCATGGGCCAAGAATCCATTGTGCTAGGCACTGTACAAACTCTGATTCCATATTCAACATTGCTATACCCCCTCCCTCAGTCATCACACTACAATAACCTCATCCCTGATCCCAATGTTTTTCTGCATTGTCCTAGGGTGAAATCCTGGCCCCGTTAAAGTCAATGGCAAAATCCCATTGATTTCAATGGAGTCAGAATTTCACCCTTAGTACATTATGATATTACTATTCCTCATAAGACATAATTTTCTTTTTAAAGGAATGGGTGATTTTGTATTTGTTTTTCTTTTTCTTTGATTGATAGTTGTAATTTTTTAATTACACAGTAAAATATATTTATCTGTCTAATACAATGGCTCTCATTAGATACCTGATTTTTCCACAAAACTCACAAGTCTTCATTTCAAATGTATAGCACAAATCTAAAGCCTGGAAACTAATGTGGCAGGCAATCATTCCTAGTCAGACTTGACTGGTGTGGATGAATGAATGAGCTTCATAGAGCAAATGTAAACCAAAACCAATGAACATAAATAAGCTGTTTTCACCAGTTCCAGCCTAAATCTAAATTTAAACGTCCCTTCAACAAAATAAAAAATGTACAATTGAAGAAAAGAGACATTTTATTATAAAATATGGGACAGCAAAATCAGATATCTTTAAAAATGCACGTGGAAAACAAGGAAGGGCCTTTTATAAGCTGGCAATTATTTTATCGCAGAGTGGGATGTACAGTTCTAAGAGTCAGAAGTTATAACTGTGGTGGTATTCTGACAGAGCGTAGGAGTGAGTGGTGACTACAACTATTTATAGCAAATGGGATAAACAAACACTATTACTATAATAGCAAACAGGGCTATTTTGTAAAGAAAACACACTGAAGCATGTTCCTATTTAAGAAACGGTATCTAAACCTGTGGGACAATAAGAATGGTGCAGGAAAAGAGAAGAAACCCAAATGTCTGCTACATATTAAATTACAGGGTGGAGACTCAAAGAAATTATAGTTAGGAACAATATATTCCTCTAATTGGTTAAATGATTCTCCAGTATAATATAGGTTTATAAGACACATACTGCAAAAAAACTGAAATTCTATGTATGGGAAAATTATAATGAGAATGCAACAAATCTGATTGTATTTTAAAAGGAATCAGTTTAACAAATAAACTTTACTACTGGAAAAGTATACCAAGGTTGACATGCTAGTAATCATGCAAAAGTGAAGTGGAATACATTTTTTTAAATAACCTTTATAGTCATAATTTTTAAATATTTTTACAAATAACAAATCTAAAACAGTGAAATTCTATACCAAATAATATGAAACAAGGTCAAGGTCAAGAAAAACATGTAACACAGCAAAGATGCCCTAAACACACAAAATTGCAGATAATTTCCTATTCACACAGTTTAAAAAAAAAAAGTCCTTCTATTTCTAGTTAGCGTCTTATACTGCATCCTCACTGTCATGTTTTCCCAGAACTGGGAAATAAAACAAATATAACCACTTCCTTCCTCCTCATTCAGAACACCATGTAGAAAGCTAAGCAATAATCATCACTATTGTCTTCTAATAGGATTCTGACTTGTATAGTACTCTTTATGGAAAGTCAACAAGTTTAATTATATGTTTCAGAGTAACAGCCGTGTTAATCTGTATTCGCAAAAAGAAAAGGAGTACTTGTGGCACCTTAGAGACTAACCAATTTATCTGAGCATAAGCATCCAATGAAGTGAGCTGTAGCTCACGAAAGCTAATGCTCAAATAAATTGGTTAGTCTCTAAGTTTAATTATATATATTTCAATCATATGTAGAACACTGAGAATAATTAAGAATGTATATTCTTATTTTAAAGGTGAACTGAAAAGTAAAAGTTTGGCTATGGGCTCTTGACTGCTCCTTTTTGATGTAGAAAAATTGCCTCCAATTTTAGTATTTTTTTTATTTTTATTTATTTATTTAAAGTTTCTCTCCTTATTTTTAATGTTGGAAACATTGGCTCCTCACTTCACTCCCCATATGCCAGATCCAAAGACAACTGAAAAGAAGATGATCATTTTCTTCAATTGATTTTAACCATACCAGTGCAAGTTTTTCAACATAGACAAGGCCTGAGAGGAAAGGGGATGCTGAGTCTTATGTTATCTATGAATTAGCAGCTCTACACTTTCATATATGTTGGAGAGGGACACCTACAACTCAGATTGCAGCTTCTTGTGACATCACTGTTCAGGATCTCCAAAAATCTTATTGAGATCCTCCAGCAAAAGGTGGGAAGCGAGAAACTAACATTTCTACTATTTAAAAAGGAAAAGCAGAAACAAAGTTTGACCAGTCTTTATACATCATATAGACGTATGAAAGGACAAAAACATTTTGCTTTGCAGTTCACTTTTAATAACAACACAGACTCATACACCAGAAATCCCCTAGTTAAAAGCTAAAATAACATAAAGTTCAGAGCCTCACCTTTAAACCACTTCTGCAATTCCCAGTGCTGGGCAGGCTGTGTGCCAGACAGCTCCTTCAATGTAAACGGAAAGTAGTGTGAAGGCCAATGTAATTTATGCTGACTGTAAATCTCCCCAATGGGCCAATACAGCAACTGGGGATCAGCAAGATGTAGGGAAATCTTGGCCATCTCTGTATTTCCCAACCACAACCTCCGTATTAGCCATAGGTGCGATGCAGGAGCTCTCACACCATCTCTATACCATTAGTGTTTATCCCACACTCAGGTTATGTTCCCATGACCAACTGTGCCAGCTTTAAGGTCACTTTGAATTTGGCGTGTGATGACCCAGGCCATTATCTTCAACCAAGGTATATAACAGATTTATTTTTAAACATTTCATCTCCTTTTTATTCATCTGCATTGAAGACTGTTTTAACAAGTGAAAAAAAATCATTTCACCATCACTGCCAAGGTACATGAAATACACATTTTGATATATAGGGAGAAATGTTAATGGCTTGCCTGCTCATCTTTATGACTAGATTAATTAAATGTAACTCTGAGGACAAGAAGCAAATATTTATTAATGTTTATGTTTTAGAAACATATGCCTTAAATTTGCCTTTGTTAAAATAGGGCCTCAATCCGGCAGGCATGTACTTAACTTTTAGCACATAAGTAGTCCTAGTGTTTATAGAATCATGGCCTAAAATGTTAACAGGCAAAAACAAAAAGCTAAATACAAAAACACTATTAAAAAAATCATTCTTTGAGCTAACCTTCTATTGCGTTCAGCACTTCCAACAGAAGCTTTAAGTATAGTTATTTCAGTTTATCATTGACTTGATTATATTTTCATTCCACCCTGTTAAATAAATTACCCTCTCTTTTAATCCACTCTCCCTAGCTGAAATCTTTTAAGCAATACTTTAGTCACAATTTGCTCGCTAATTTAATCCATGAGCTACAAGAATTTATTCCTACTGACAAAAAAATATTGCTAACTGTGATTAGATGTCTTGATTCCTAGAAGTCAAATTGTCATGTCATGATTACATTGTATATAATTGACTCCAAAAGTTGTAATAGTTATTTTCCAGATAAATTATTGATTGGTTTTTCCTACTTCTTAAATCCAAAGCTTGGTTACCTTAGCAACTTTCCCATATCCACTGGGATTTAAAATGTTTCTGAGCTATAGGACATCTGCTAAAAGAAAGACGGCACATCATGCTGTGCAAGGTAGGACTTTTCACATAGTTATCATGTCGATAGGTAATGTTGCTATTTTAAGACACAGCATTTAATAAATTGATTGTTATCTACAAAGGTCTAATTTCAAAGACTACTCTTTTTTAAGCAACACAAAGCAAAGGATTGTATTTAATGGTAGAGCAAATTGCATGAATAAAGAATAGTTTCATTTCATTTCATGTGCCATTTACCTTTTCTTCTACAATTTTGTTGAATCACCTGGAAAAAAAAACACGCAAGTAATGACTATTATATTTACATAATCACAAAATAATTTCCAGCTATTGTTCTTTTCATCAGCTTTTAAAAATAGGATCCCTGTCTGTTTTAATATATACCTTCTGAGAATAAGCATTATACTCACAGGCTAAACTACAAATTAAATTTTAGGGGAACAGCCTAACACTGCATAAGAGTAAATAAAACAATTCTACATTCTAAATAGTGCACTGTTCTTTTAATATGCCTCCTACTAAACTACATGTTCTTGGAGTTCTTTGCACTACTGTTGTACCCATCTGAGGCTGTTGGTCCCAGGATATGAGAGTGACAAGAAGGGCTGGTGATATCTTTTATTGAACCAACTGCTGATGGTGAAAGACACAAGTGAAGGAGAGCTCTGTGGAGCTCAAAAGCTTGTCTCTTTCACTAACAGAAGTTGGTCCAATAAAATATATTAGCACACCCACCATATCTCTCTTGGAGTTCTTAAAATTTAACAATGATATTACCTCTTAATTTCACAAAATCAATGACCAGTAGAGACACTATATTACAAAATCCCAAATATATGCAAGCCCAAATCCAGCACTCTAGAGTTAAGCTGGTGTTGCAATTTAAGCCCATTGCTTCTTGTCCTATCCTCAGAGGTTAAGAAAAACAATTTTTCTTCCTCCTCTTTGTAACAACCTTTTACATACTTGAAAACTGTTGTGTCCCCTCTCAGTCTTCTCTTTCCAGACTAAACAATTTTTTCAATCTTCCCTCATAGGTCATGTTTTCATAGGTCATTTTTGTTGCTCTTCTCTGGACTCTCTCCAATTTGGCCACATCTTTCCTGAAATGTGGCTTCCAGAACTGGACACAATACTCCAGTTGAGGCCTAATCAGCATGGAGTAGAGTGGAAGAATTACTTCTTGTGTCTTGCTTACAACACTCCTGCTAATACATCCGTGGGTGCCGACTTCCCCTCTTTCCTGTGGGTGCTTGACCCCCCCTTTACCCCTGGCCCCATCCCCACTCCACCCCTTCCATGAGGCTCTGCCCCCATTCCAACCCCTTCCCCAAAGTCCCCGTCCCAACTCCTTCCCCAAATCCCTGCCCCAGACCCACCTCTTCCCCGCCTGCTCCCTTGAGCGTGCCATGTTCCCGCTCCTCCCTCCCTCCCCGAGTGTGCTAACACTGCCAAACAGCTGTTTGGTGGCGGTGGGGCAGGAAGCGCTGGGAGGTAGGTGGAGAAATGGGGATGCGGTGCACTCAGGGGAGGAGGAGGTGGTGAGGGGAGTTTGGCTGCCAGTGGGTGCAGAGTTCCCACTAATTTTTCCCCGTGGGTGCTCCAGCCCAGATCACCCACGGAGTCAGTGCCTATGAATACATCCCAGAATGATGTTTGCTTTTTTTGCAACAGTGTTACGCTGTTGACTCATATTTAGCTTGTGGTCCACTATGACTCCCACTTCCCTTTCCACAGTACTCCTTCCTAGGCAGTCATTTTCCATTTTGTATGTGTGCAACTGATTGTTTCTTCCTAAATGGAGTACTTTGCATTTGTTCTTATTGAATTTCATCCTATTTACTTCCGACCATTTCTCCAATTTGTCCAGATCATTTGAGTTTTAATCCTATCCTCCAAAGCACTTGCAACCCCTCCCAGCTTGGTATCATCCACAGACTTCATAAGTGTACTATGTATGCCATTATCTAAATCATTGATGAAGATATTGAACAGAGCTAGAACCAGAACAGATCCCTGCGGGACCCCACTCGTTATGCCCTTCCAGCATGACTATGAACCACTGATAACTACTCTCTGGGAATGGTTTTCCAACCAGTTTTTCACCCCCCTTCTAGTAGCTCCATCTAGGTTGCATTTCCCTAGTTTATTTATAAGAAGGACATGCGAGACAGTATCAAAAGCTTTACTAAAATCAAGTTTCAGAGTAAAATCAAGATATACCACATCTACTGCGTCCTCCCATCCACAAGGCTTGTTACTCTGTCAAAGAAAGCTATCAGGTTGGTTCGACACGATTTGTTTTTGACAAATCCACGCTGACTGTTACTTATCACTGTATTATCTTCTAGATCAGGGGTGGGCAAACTTTTTGACCTGAAGGCCATATCTGGGTATGGAAATTGTGTGGTAGGCCATGACTACTCACAAAGTTGGGGGTTGGGGTGCCAGAGCAGGTAAGGGCTCTAGGGTGGGGCCAGAAATGAGGAGTTCAGGGTGTGGGAGGGTATTCTGGGCTGGGACCAAGAGGTTTGGAGGGCAGGAGGGGGATCAGGGCTGCGACAGAGGGTTGGGGCACAGGGGGATGTCAGGGGTGCAGGCTCTGGGCGGCACTTACCTCAAGCAGCTCCCAGAAGCAGTGGCATGTCCTCCCTCTGGCTCCTACATGGAGGTGCGGCCAGGCGGCTCTGCACACTGGTCTGTCCACAGGCACTGCCCATGCAGCTCCCATTGGCCACGGTTCCCGGCCAATGTAAGCTGTGGAGGCAGTGCTTGGGGTGGGGGTGGGGGCAACATGCAGAGCCTCCTGGCTGGAAATTCTAAGTAGACATTTCCAAAAGTAGACGCTGCGAATAACTTTTTTTAGAAACAACATTACTACTGAAAGATTATCAGTAAGATCAAATCTTTCATATGTACATTTAAAACAGTCAGTGATATTATTTCAGAGACTCTTATTTCAGAGACTTGTACCTGTGGAAGCATGTTTTTAATATGTTCAGATGAGAAAATGAATATTTAGTTGACAGACCACAAAATGTGCCCACATCATTCACCACTTCACCAGCATCATGAATTTCACCTGAAGAATCTGTTGTCTCCTAAGCTACAAGGTTCTCACAGTGTACCTAACAGTGCACAAATGACGAAAGGCGGTGCTTTCTGGTAATACTCAGTTGTTCCTCCCACCCATACACAGACTATTTCATAGTTTTCTCCCAACACAGACTCCCTTAAATTTAAAACAAACAAACAAAACCTTTATTTGTTAGATTAGGGGGCAGCCATCTGGACCTCAGGGATCTTGTTCACCCAAGTGCATCTGAAATTGGGCATTCTATGGATTTTTAACTTAAAGTGATTGAATGGCAATTAACTCAAATTAAAAAATGAATGTAGACAAAACCCATGTGAGAAATGGACTGTGACAAATATTGGGGGGGGACAAAAGTAGTGCTTAAAATGATTGTGCCCCTATTCCTGGTGACTGTGCCTATGACTATACACAGTAATAAGTACTTGCAAGATTGGGCCCCGCTTCTGATTAAAGTGACAAAACTGTAGAACATTTTTTTTAAATGAACAAAGGTCCAGCTAACTAACCAGGGACTGATCCTGCTAGAATTTAAAATCTGTGGGAGTTTTGCCATTGACCTCAAAGGGAGGAGGATTGGATCAACGGCTTTTCATTGTAAAAGCTTTTTTGTAGTTAATGTCTCCTATGTTATGGTCCCATCAATCTCTTGGGAGCCCCTGATGTTGCACTCTCTTGCACTAATGGGACTTTAGCAATGTTCTCCTGATGGGAACGCTCCCTCTCAGAACTAAAATACTTTAGGGGACCCCTTGCCACAAACAAAAGGAGTTTCCAAAGCAGGATTCTATCTTTGTCCCATTCTGTACACTAAACAAAGTAATCCTGATTTGTAGCCATTTGGCAATGACAATACAGCAACTATCGCCCGTTTCTTACTGACAGTAAAGTAAATCAAATGCTGTAGCATAGTGAAAACTAAAAAACCGTAAGTGCCTTATGATTGTTGTTACTGCATGTTCATTATCTTTTCTTTAAATAATCTATAATGTTGCAAAATGTTTAAAACTTTTTGCTCACATTAGTATTGAATAAAACAAAGGAAAGTTGGCAAGAGAAATTTCTTTTTTTTTTTAATCTGCAATCTGTATAATCATGCATCTCTGATCACATCTGTTTTTTCCACATTCCCTCCCTCGTCCCTTCTGCGTATGCACTAATCTATCATGCAGGCATAGGCACCGTAGGAATGCCTCAGTGACCAAACTACTGACCCTTTTACTGAAAAGCTCCTTGCCCCACAGCTTGCAGCTCTCCCTGGGCAAAAGTGGCAACAGATGGGAGAAGGGACAGGAATGTCTCCTAACTCATTCCCCTCCCTTCAACCATACTTCCCCCTCCCAACTTCAAAAAGAAGCCTGAAATATCCTAAGAGATTTCCGTCTGCTTATAAAAAACAGCCTTTAGAAAGAAACAATTAAATATACCTCTTTTTTAACTGGAAGTGGATTTCTTAATTCTGGTGACTATATGATACCATCTCATGAATAAACTAATCAGTTACTAGAAAGGGGATAGAGACTGTACAAATTTTAGGGCTCATCTACCTATAGAAGTTGCACTTTAAACTTCTAAGTGTCCATGCCAATGCTGCACCAATTTAACTACATCAGTTTAAGATCACACCTTTATTTAAACTGGTACAACTTTGCATCCATCTATGAAGCAACTGAGAAGTGTAATTCTAGTGCCTCAGAATAGTGTGGCTGCAGTTGCACAGGCAGCCATTCGGGTAGCTGCCCGAGTGTGTACCCAGGGGACTGGGTGGGATTGTACATGGGTGACTAGGCCAGACTGCCACCTGTGCTACCGCAGTCACCTTGCTATTTTAGGCACTAGGTCAAGCAGAGTTAGTGCGTGTACATCTCCCCTGCTGGGAATTACACCTCCCAGAGGCTGTACAGACATAACCTTTGTGTGCAAACCAGGCCTTTAGATTCTTTCTCTTAAAAAAACTTTCTTAAAATAAATACAACCTAGAAAGAAAAAAGAGAGTGGAAAGGCAGATATCAAATAATACACATAAAAAACATAGCCCAGGACATATGGCATTAATCTTGCAGCCTGTAAACCATAGGCTCATCCTGCAATCAGATCCACAAACGAGAACCTTGACTCCCTTGCAGCGTCCCATTAGCTCTGTCCACACTAGGGAATTTTTGCAAAAATTCCCCACCATTGCTAATACCTGTTCAATTAAAACAGGGATAGCATTAGCTATACTGAAAGGGAAAGGCTGCCAATGACATTTTAAGCACTGTGTTTCAATTAAATGAATTGCTCTGAGCGGGGTTAGATGAGATGATGATTAAAAATCCAGAAGCAGTGGTAGCCACAAAATTATGGCTCCCAAATTTACAAAGGTCTTAGATACATGGGGAAATTGACCAGAATAACTATTGTGGAAATGTATTCTCCAGTAGCTATTCTGGTCTATTTCCCTGTGCAAACAAGCCCTAAGAAGACCTGGATCTGTGGTTGAAAGCAGACAAGACCATCTACTTCAGTGGAACTCTATGCAGGATCCTCATATGTGGATCCATTTGCAGGACCAGGCCCTTTGCAAAACAAAACAAAAAGCTTTGATACAATCATCAGCTTTCCCAGCTGTCCATCGCCATTCAAGAGACACACTTTGTCTGTGAGCTTTCTGGACCTGATCCAAAGTCCACTGAAATCAATGAGAGCTCACTGACTTTAAATAGGGTTTGGATCAGGCCCGAAGTGAATGAATGAATGACCTGAAACTTTACATTTCTGCTCAGGATTATTTAGGTAACTGCATCTCCTCAGATGGGGAAATTAACAAACAAACAAAAAACAGATTATATGTGGGACATGCTTTCCTTTTGCAATTGCTAAAAATATGTTTGTTTACATCAGAACAAAGATCACTATCTAATCAAATCTCATTTTCTGCTCCATAGCACACACACAAGGCTTTTTTTTTTTCTTTCCTTGGAGGAGGGGGTTGGACAGAACGTGTCTGTCTTATTGCCAGGGCTCCTGCAGTGAGATGTTTGAGAGAGTCCTAGAGGGAAAAGCAGCAGAAAAGTCTTGAAGTCATTAAGTGAGGTAAATAGTTCCAAAATGTTGAGAAAATGATTATGCAAGCCACAGAAAAATGGAAAGAGAA